TCACATTGTGTGCGTCATCAACTACAGTTAGTCCCAGAAGTCCTGTCCCTTTTTACTCTGTTACTCGGAGACCAAGGGACACGCCCTCACATTAGAGGAGAGCGCACTAAATTGCCAACTGTCCAATAGTATATGTTGATCTCTCAAAATGTCCCTCACCAGGTCACATGGTGTGAAACACCGGAGTGATGGCCGTATGCTTGCATTTTGGTACAAGTGTACTTGCCAGTCTCGTCCATCGTGCAAACGCTGGATGGGCGCGGATCGTTCAGTTTCAGTCAACCTACGGTACGCCACAGGGCAAGTTCACCGATCGATGCATACCGTGTTTCGGGCTGGTTGAAACGAAGACAGGCTTGCAAAATAACGACAGCAGTGCACCAGTACCGGCCTACTGCAGTAAAATTGTGATGGCGCTTGAAGATGCCTAACTGGCCTTAGCAAGGAGTGTTCAATAGGTGCTCATTGTTGAGTGTTCAATACGTGCTCATTGTTATCCTAGCTAATGACATAAGGGTTATTGGCAACGCTCTTGTAGACTGAAATTTAGCTTCTAACAACCCACCTTAGCAAAAGAGGTATTCCTTTTAGTTACGCTTTGCACATATGAAATGTAACGTTGTGAGAGGAGTCTTGAAAAGCTATGCCGCCTAAAGACTACTCGCTGCCGCATAGCCTATTCTCCCGTCATAGTATTGATCGCAATTGCCGCATTAACATCCTCTCTCTGTGAGTGTGCTAGCTGTGGAATGTCATTCACTGGTACCTAATGGCCAACACTGCACTAACGAATAAATATCAGACGCTGTGGTTACGTCTTTCGTGTGTATGCCCTCCCGATCATTTCATTGCATGACCCCACTCTGTTTGATCACGCGCAAAACCATGAAAAACACGTATCGACATTGTGAACCAAGTTGCACAGAGGTGGTACGTCTAAGTGATGGATAATGCTGCCAATAATTCGTCGAGGTAGAATCAATGCACTTCTGACCTTATCCTCGTGTTTGCCAAGTAGTGCAATTACTACCTAGGAGTAGTAGGCGGAGTTGAATGGTATAGGTAGAAATTCATCACATCTAAACTCAGCTCAGACAGACGTCACACGCCCGGAAAAACACTGTACGCGCGTTTCATCCTTTCGGGAATCGTCAGCAGTGCGAGTTCCATCGGACCCTGGTAAGGCTCGAACCCGCAACTCGACTGTTGCCCGTCCGCGGTTGATCTGCCAACTGCTTTGTTTGGAGCTTAGAAAATAATATCATTACGCTTTCTGTCTTGAGACAGCTTCTGGCCACCTACGGAAGTGACTTATTCTGTCAGAGCCCACGAGATCTATACAGCTCCAACACAGCCGTCGTTGGGCTATGTGGTGCAACTCAATTCTGGTCTCTGTATGTGCTCCGCTGCTTCGGATCACTTCATATTACCGCTATGTTAGTTTGTTTCACTATTCATTCACGTGGGTTGCTTTGCCTACTTAGATGACTGCATTATATCTGGTGGTGGAATCATTGAAGGAACCTTTGTGCCTATTAAATACGTGTTGTCCAAATAAGCATTGGCGTCTGAGGACCCTGCGTAACACCGGTTACTTATTTAAAAACGACGCAGAGCAGCCAGTGCTGCCGCATTGTCTCAGCGACTTTATCATTATGAGTTGAACACCTTATGTCACTAGATATCGCTGATATCAGCGACGCATTGCTGCTTTCTGATAAGACCATCAGTTAGATATTTCTAGCGTTTAGTAACCAGCCGACGGGTTTCACATCATGCTTTTTTACACGACTGCACCTAGTGACCAAAGTTGAACCCGGTGAATGGAGACCAAGGTTAAAGGTCGATCGAGTTCTAAAAGGGCTAATCGAAAAACCAATCAGTACTGTTGATTCTCACTCCCCGACTGAGCCAACCGCATCGGTAGATCTCTTGCGTGTTCTACTCCTCTTCCAATTGTTGTCTCTCCAACCTGACTATTCACATCCGCTTTTCTCTTACTCCCGCATTCCCGGTTTCTCCTCATCCTAGATTTTGTTCTCTTATAGATGTGCGATTTGCTAACTTGATCCACCTCACTTGCGTTTGGGATCGAACTTGGCGGATATGAAAATGACCTGCACACCTTTTGTTCACTGTTCAATGGTTTGTTTATTCGAGCCTTCATCTGACTCTCATTCCTCTTTTTCAGAGCCAGTACTCGCTCCGACGCGCCCAACTCTCCTACCGTGGTCTTGTACAAATTCACGAGAAAAGTGGCTGGTACACTCCTCCACAAGCTGATGGCTAATTTCTGTCTGTTATCCATTTGAGTCAAACTTCTCAGAGCACGTGGTTATGCATCTCAGCATTTCACGCCACTGAGTGTAACAATACTCACTCTTCTCTCGCATAGCGCGAGTTCACTGGTCGTTACGCGTTCCGAAGTACGCTCAATCGTTCGATTTATTCCCGCTTTCCAAGCACCACTACTGTCCCTCAATCTGTGTGTGGATGCTCGACTTTGTTTCGTCGCATTTTACTCCAATCATTATCTTTCTCATCTCCTTGCCATTCCTGAGAGATTGTGTTCCATCCCTCCGACTGTGTCACTCGATTCGCAGTCCGGTGCATTCTTGTTTGTTTCACCTACCACTTCGCTTGTTGTCATCTGTTTGACGAACACATCACTCCCGTAGAGTGTATCTACTTCCAAGGCTGTATTCACTTCTTTGATATCACATGTCGATATTTCCTGTTAGCCCTTCGTCTACATTTTGCGTTGCTTATATGTGTCATGGCTCACTTGCACCTATCCTGTGTATTTCTTCTGACGGTCCGTGTTAAGTTTTGTTGGTTCTCTCCTCCTCAGTGCATCCTTGCACATATATTTGATCGACATTCGTTCTCATTCATTGTTTTTATCATAAACCACTTCGCTCCGTCTGCTTCATACTGTTTTTGCCGGATGTACGAACCTCGTACTCCTCCTCTCTTTCATTTCTCATTCGATTAATCAGCGAGTCTTTGCATCCATTGTGATTGTTTGATTCACTGTGCAGTTGTCGTTATTGTTATCACATCCGCTGTTATTGTTTTCCAATTGACCGAAAACATTTGGCACTCGGGTTTCCTTCTTCATTTCTAATCTACTCAATCGGATGATCCTCCTCATTCGTTCCAATTTGCTCTGCGATGTGACCCTCCTTGTCGAGTGTCATGCCTTCCTCTAAATCGAGATTGTCACATTATTGTAGCGTTACTGTGGTTTCACATTCCATGGACAACTCAGTGATGGCCATCGCTGGTACATTTGAAATAACCACCTGTTGCCTTTCGGGTGACCGTCTTCTTCACGTTCGGCGACAGTCATCTCATCACGTTTCCTCCATCCTAATCGTAGACAGTTACGAGACCACTATCCATTTATCACACATCCAGTGCAAACTTAGGAAAATGGGGTTTGGCGATAGTCAAGTGGGTGTTGCTTCGGAGCTAGAAATCACCCCACACATACACAAGCGCATGTCACCTGTTGATTAGTTAGTCTTCGTGACGATGCCCCAACGCCATAACGAGACCCGAAGACTGATGACCCAGCGCTCACCGCATACATATCAGTGGGTATTTGATCTTTCCCTTGTTAGTGTCTCACGCAAAGCTATGGCTAGGTTGGGATCTCGTCCTTAATGAGTCCGCAATGTCTGCTTAACACACATGGGGACGATGTCCAACTCATTGCTAGTAACCATTAGAACTACACAATGATGGAGCCATACCCCGCTTGTTTACACACCGAGCTTGACGCGCACGAATTCGCCAGCTGTGCAACACATCACACAACCAACCATTCCGAAATGTCTCGTCGATGCATTGCAACTAACGTTTCACAGTCAATTCTCACAACACTGTGGGGCTGAAGACCTAACTGTTGGCATGCTCCTGACCTGAGGATTCTGGACGCTGCTGCAATCCTGCGTTAAAATACCCTCACTGTTTGGTTATATCTCATTGATAACTAGGTTTACCTTACACAGGGGGAGGAGTTCACTAATTCTTACTTGACTTAAGTGCACCGTATTCAATTCCCCTTCGGATCTCATCTCAGCTATCAGGAAAAATTGCACGGAGCACATTCTTGTCTTCTCTGTGGACAGTTTGGCGAATTCAAGCATCAATACGATTGAAGTTAAACCTGTGTACGATCACCAACTGAATTTAATGCCATACAAAAGTCCGACCGTAATAGCAGTGATAGTGGCTAGTCTGGAGCATCAAAACTGCGCAGTCTTAATGAACCTGCGGAAATGCATTCTAAATCGGTGGAGCTGCTGGTCCAATGAAGCGTTAGGGTTACTCAAACGACGAGCATTTTCGCAGAAATGTTAGGGGGATTCTCACCTGCATTGACAGTTTAACCAATGAATAATATGTTTTGCTGCTTCCGTATTTCCCTATTTTGGATCCACTAATACCCGGAAATGTTCTAATGATCTTTGTGGCGGATTCAATATTCATATCCGGTTCAATCACTGAGTGCTTGTTGGTTGGAAGCGAGGAAAATATTCCACGGCGTGTCTGAACACAGGTGGAAACTGATGGTTATTTGAAATGGCGATGCATTCCATGTACCAGGGGATGGGGTGGAACATTCTATACCCTACATTCACATGAGTGCGAAGAATTACGTTTGCTGCTTGGTCTTATGATAACAGTTTCACTCCAGTTGAGGGTTGAGCATCGCAAATTCACCGCGGTATTTTCGATCAAATATTTCTCCCCAACTCTCACTTCGTTTAGTGCTTCATGTCGTCCAAATTTTGCGTTGCATCCCTTGGATGGTGTGCACTTTTGTGAATTCGGATCTAATTCATCACTGTCAGTCACCAAGCGTTGACACGTCTGGAAAAGCACCAGACCTACTCGGTCTCGTCAGTGGTGCGTCTTCCTCGGACCTCTGCCGGGTTCCGACCCCGTGCCAGTAGCTAATGCCACTTAGTCATGGGTGACGGCCGCGGACCTGCATGACTGACAGTTGACTATGATATCTGTGATTGACCGCGTAGTGTGAATGTGAGTATTGCCGGACCAATCGATCTCTGGCAGCGCTTCACCGCATCCATCACACCTTATTGTTGATACCACTAAAGACACTTTCCCCCTGGAAAAGCACACATACAAATTATTTCATTTTTCGCATACCCGATGCAACACCTTGGACGGTTGCTCATGACAGGACTCCAACAACTTGGTCGAGCCGTGTATCTTGTCTAAACTATAACAGAATTTACACTCTTGTCTGCTTCAGGTAGGTCACGTTACACTTGTTTATCTGATTATTATAGAGAACCAGCAACTTGATCTTTTCGAAGCCTATTCGTCTGTAGTTCCGCTTGAGTGTTAAACACAAGGCTTACGAACCTGGTGGATGTTGGCACTTTTTGCATCAACGGCTTTTGTTGGAAATGCCTTCACCTAACTAAACAAGCTAACTAGATTGTGTCCTTATTATTAGGCTCATGGTCTGAGCAGTTCATTCACGAAAACACGCACTACACCGCTGCTTTGAGTGTAGGTCCGAGCAACTGCTCCAGTGATTCACTGGGCCACAGTAATTCTGTGTTCTTATCGGTGCTTGTGGCTTGCACACGCGTTCTTCCGCTGGTACTACGGTGTACAGTGTCCAAGAAGCTACCAGGCTACCGTCGCGAATCTGTCCACCGATGTGGCTCGCTTACCTACTGGAACGCATTTCGGGATCACCGGGTGCTCTTTACTTATCTGATCTTTGCAAGTGGCATGCGATGCTTAGGCAAAAGTGCTGTTAGACCCAGTCGCGCTTCCGTCTCCATAAACAGCTGGCACGCGACCAGTGAAGTGCATGCACTGTTTCTACACAGCATTGTGGGTGAATGGTTGTTTATCAGATGGCGCACGAGTAGGGTGGGCGCGGTTGAGTATCAGACTCACTTCAACCCCATTTCTAAACGCATAGCCTACACGCGCTTGTCATTTTTACATCTTTAAGACTTTCAACCGAGCACGTCCAATTTTCAGCTGTTCTTTGCTAGACCCGATTCATTGGCTCCAGTTGATCGAATCCGTATTCTCGTTCATTTCAGTGGACCGCACTTTTCAAACGGGAGTTTGTCCCCTACTTTTTTCCTCTACCATGTTCTATTATCGTACTTTCTGCATATCGGGTAGCTAGCTCTGTAAAAGCCATTCGTGAGTCGATCCCCAGCCACGCGGAAACTTTTACTCATGTCACAACACCTTCCCGCATTGGAGGCCACAACCACTATGTTATCCTACAATTCTGTGTGCCCTAACTTCGCTTGACCGAGACACCCACCGGGTTAAGAGAGTTCATTATTTGTTGGCATCTCACGAACACTCAACGTTTAGCTCATCCATGCAGTGTGACGGGTGGCAAATGGGGGCGATGCAGTCGTTCCACGTTCGACACAAGTTTTCACAGCTAGTCCACTCACTTACTATACTTTACTGCGGCTAGCTCCTGCGACAGGATGAGCCGGCTTCATGAATGTCGCGGATTGTAGCTGTCCAAGCGCGGCGGTCGGTGGCAAGCTCCACGCTGATACTGATCCAATGATTACTCTAGTGACGAGCACCATGCACAACATGAAGTCCCAGCAGATCGACATCCGATTTCACTGCAGCGAGCCACGTTTTCAATTATCCACCACGGCGACGACACCAACCATGGCACTAGTGAAGTCAGTGTCTGGTCTGCGGAGGACGTGACCGAACCACTGAAGTCTGCGGCATTGGATGAGTGTTATGAGCTGCGGAAGACCGTAACAGCACTTGCGAATTTCATCCTCGGTGATACGCTCATGCCACTGCGTTTTCTAGATAAGCCTTAGACACCAATGGTTGAAGACTTCCAGCTTTCGGATGTCTTCGGATCGCAGCGGCCATATTTCGCAACCATAGAGTAAAATGGCACGAATGGTTGCTGAGAATACTCGGATCTTCGTTCTCAGACTAATTTCCGTCCTTCACCACAATGGGTTTCTCAGTTGTAAGTAGGCTGTTCCAGCGCTGTCAATACGATTCCGGCTTTCCGATGTAGCCTGACCATTGGGATTATAGTGGATCCAATATACTTGAACTCAAGTACAGATTCGATGAGTTGTCCATGTAAGCAGAGCGACAGGTTGGACTGGGTGGCTACCGATGAGAAGTATTTCGTCTTGCTGATATCAATTTCGAGGCCGACCATAGAGTCTGATTGGTCGACCCGCTTTAGCAGTGACTGTAGTGATATAGCATCTTCCGCAAGGA